CACAGGGGTATAAAATGAAGCAGCTAGGCATGCACACTGTTTTTATAAACAGTGGTGACAAAATGGATCATTCTCAGGAGCTCAGTGAATTCCAGTGTGGAACTGTATTGGGACGCCACCTGTGCAACAAATCCAGTCATGAAATTTCCTCATTCCTAAATATTCCACAGTCAAATGTCAGCTGTATTATAAGAAAATGGAAGTGTTTGGGAAAGAGAGCAACTCAGCCATGAAGTGGTAGGCCATGTAAACTGACGGAGCGAGATCAGCAAATGCTGAAGCACATAGTGCAACGAGGTCACCAACTTTCTACAGACTCAATCACTACAGACCTCCAAACTTCACATGGCCTTCAGATTAGCTCAGGAACAGACCGCAGAGAGATTCATGGAATGGGTTTCCATGGTGGAGCAGTTGCATCCAAGCCAAACATCACCAAGTGCAATGCAAAGCATCGGATGCTGTGGTGTAAAGAACGCCACCAAAACAACTCTAGAGTAGTGGAGGTGTTCTCTGGAGTGACGAATCACACTTTTTCATCTGGCAATCTGATGGACGAGTCTGGGTTTGGTGGTTGCCAGAACAGTACTTGTCTGACTATATTGTGCCAAGTGTAAAGTTTGGTGGAGGGTGGATTGTGGTGTGGAGTTGTTATTCAGGAGCTGGGCTTGGTCCCTTAGTTCCAGTGAAAAAACTCTGAGTAGTTCAGCATACTAAGACATTTTGGACAACTCCATGCTCCCAACTTTCTGTGAACAGTTTGGAGCTGGCCCCTTCCTCTTACAACATGACTGCATCAGAGCACAAAGCAAGGTCCATAAAGACATGGATGGAGAGTCTGGTGTGGAGAGAAGCAGGACTTTATAATTGTCTTGATTTATGCTTGACTGCTAAACAAGCTTCCTGTCACTAGGTGGCAGCAGTGTTCAAAATGAATCAATAGGCTGCCCCTTTCAAGCCAGTAGAATAGGTAGTCAAAACTGAGCTGAGCATAGCTGAGAGCTGCGTTAAGACCATTGTTCCTCAGTGAGGATACACGTTCGGACGTTTAGAAACATAACTACCGCCACAGAGGAGAGATGAAGAAGTTTGTGACAGTGAAAAGAAAAACCGTGGCAGAGGTCAGTAAAACAAGTATGACGGAGTTTTTGGGCCAGACTAAGATTTTATTTTTAACTACAAAAAAAGTCATAAAATTAGAAGAACAATGTCATATTACAAGAATAGATACTACAAAGTCTTTAAAAGACGAAAAGAAAAACGTAATTTTAAATTTTAATAAGAAAAAGGCTTTGATAGAATAATCAAGATATGACGTTACCAGCTCAGCAAGTCGTTCTTTGAAATAACAATTCTTTAATAAATAATTGTTTATTATTTAAAGCGTCTTAATAGATCAGATTAGTTTCTGATATGTTAAGATTAAATATTTCCTTATTTGTAAAAATCAACTATAACTTTACAAGACCCTTGGTGTTCCTTTTTTTGGCACAGTGTGGTGTTGGATTTTCTGAACTTTTTTTTTTTTTTTACTTTATTCTCGTATCATTACAACTTTACTGTAAATTAAAGCAAACAAGCAACAACAACAACAACAACAAAAAACAAACATACAAAAAAACTCTTAGTCTGGCCCTAACTCCATCGTAAGGAAGTAACTGTAGCTGTCAGGAAGAGCCCAAAACATAGATAAGGCGTATTTTCTGTGAACGTAAAATATCCAATTTTCATCTCTTCTGACAAGCAGGAATAAACAATATTGTTGCAAATTTTGCACAAAATTCACCTACGAAACTATATACCTTTTGAAAAACAAGCTGAAAAAGCAGCAAAATAATACATTTTTATTGTAAAAATGTACATCAAAGTTGATCATTTGCACTTTTTCTCTATTGAGAATCCCACAGACTGAGCAGTCTTGAGTTAATGAACTGAACTTTGAAATTGTTTAGAAACTTAAAACAATAAAATGAGCTACTACCTCTCATTTCAGTTGTTTTGATAACCGGGTCATTTAATGGTGGACCCAGTGGGATGTACAGGTAAATTATAAAATATTATCAGATTATTAATAGTATTTCAATTTGGACAGGGGTGGGGGGATGTGAACAAGTGTATTATCCCTAGGGGCGGCATGACAGAAAATAATTGGGAAACACTTAAGAAGGTGAGTGAATACTTTGGGCAATATAGTGTATAAGGTATCCATATCTTTATTATATTCTTGTTACATTAATATTATATTTCAGCTAACTGTATTTATTCATTCATAAGTGAGCGTACCACTGTAATTGTATGTTCTAAATACATAATGAGCAATAAAACTATTATGTCTTGTCTTATTTGCTTCCATGAAGTAAATAAGACCTGTGATGTCTTATCTGCTGCATGTGATGTCATGTAGATGATGTAGGTCATTTAAGGGTTTTAGACACCGAGGCCTAGTGGCAGCATGTTGTTTGTTTAAAATGTCAAAGAAGAATTTGCAAAACATTTCCGCATAAGTTGTGAGCTTTACTGGTCTCCAGGAACATCTTTGCTTCTGCCAGTGGTTGACTTGCTTGAAGACTGGTCTTGCTTGTCAAAGGTCACCATCTTCCCTTTCCTTTCCAGTCTCTGCAAACACAAAACATAGAACTGATTACAAATACATGTACAGCTTATAAGCTGAACTTACATATTACTTCCACCATTTCACAGTTCAACAGGGATCATTCAGGTCACATTGATGCTGCCTGACATGTGTTATGATACATTTACAGTTTTTCTCAATCACTTTAGTGCTTTTCTCAGAACAGAATTGAAATTCTCAAAACTACTTGATCAATCTTTAATTCACTGTGTCATTACAAAAAAAGCAGTTCCTCATTTCTGTGAAATTCCCTGCCGTTCCCTTGTCATTCTGAGGCAATGACATGTTCACTGACAAATATTTACCTTTGAGAGATAAACTACGGATTTTGAGAAAGAAACTGGACTCTACCATATTTTCTGCACTATAAGGCGCACCTAAAAACCTTCAATTTCCTCAAAAGCCGACAGTGCGCCTTATAATCCGGTGCACCTTATGTATGGACTAATATTGAGCCACAACAGGTCTAGCATCTACGGTAAGCAGCAGCCAACTTCATTTTCGCCCGTAGAAGAAGAAGCGCGCGGTGTTGTCAGAACGCTGGTTTGTTAATAAAGTTTGACTGACCTATCTACCTACCGACCGTCTAGAATCAGGTCGTCTGCAGGTCATTCAGCACCACGTTCTCCACGAATATGCTGTGCGCGAACGGAGAAGGGTGACCATCGTCCACCCACGCCCCAGCCCAGTTGAGGAAGGCTCTCCCCGACCAGAGTCGGAGTGTTTTGTTGACATTCCGTTTAGTGGAGCTCCATCTAGTGGATGCATAACGTAACTCCAGCCTCTAATGTAATGTCTATTTTATGCACCTTATAATGCGGTGCGTCTTATATATGAAAAAAGTTTTAAAATAGGCCATTCATTTAAGGTGCGTCTTATAATCCAGTGCGCCTTATAGTGCGGAAAATACGGTAATATTTCTATTAGAAACTCCTTGAAATACTAACAGAGCTAATTGCTGCTGCTGCCAGTACTGAATATGAAACCACCAATCCGACTAGACCAAGACCGGACCCTAAATAGCTGTTACCAGACCGGACACAGAACTGTAGAACTACTTACCGGATCACACAGTCCGACCAGAGGTAGCTCCAATAAATTATGTAGAACTTTTGAATCTTGTCTCCTTCTTCCAGTAGAACTTGCATGTGCCCTTATTACAATTCAGTGTTCCTGGAGTATTATTCCAGGCTGGTTTATTTTACTCATAACCTTAAAGACAACCCACCCCAGGCTGCCACAGTTTCATTTATGAAGCTGAAGGTGGCAGCAGCAGCAAAATACCAGCTCCTATGGCCAACTGTCCTCTTCCTCCGTTTGGTCCTCATCATCATGATTACGTCTTGTGATTTCTACATTCCCATTGATTTCAACATACTCTGGTTAAATTTGAAAAGGCTTAAAGATGTTACTCATCACTGTTTGGGCTGGATGGAGCTAGCACAGTCAGACCTAAAGATGTAATCTACCCAAAATGCATTGCAGCGTGAACAACATGGCAACATTCATGTGACAATATTTTATCGCAATTTCGAAAAACTAAACAGCCTACTGTATTATTACTGTACTGACTTACAGTACAGTAATAATACTGTACTGTAATTACAGTATTTATACTGTAATTGTAAATTACGGTATAAATTTATTTCAGTATTTATTTCTGAAATATTTATTTCAGAAATACATATTTCTAAAATAAATATTTCTAAAATATTTATTTTATTTCTGAAATATATATTTATCTGTTTAAGAATTCTTTGTTTCTGAGTAAAACTTTCAGACAAGATGTATCAGAACAAAATAAAGAACTATTACATTTTGTATTCCATTTTTTTTAAGTTGTTCAGTTCCCTACATGTGTAGTAAGTGTAAATTTTAACGTCACATAACACACATAGTGTGGTCTCACTTGTTTAGTTGGTTGTTCCCTGGGGTACCGGGACATGTGTTGTAGCAAGCGGTCCGTCTTCTCCCAGTGACCCAACCAATTCTCCCGGGAGTACACAGACTTACGGGATGCCAGTCGTTGGTACATGGCCTGATTTTGCTCACTGATAATCACAAGATCCTGCTTCCTTTTGCCAGCATTCGAACTGAGGATACAGAAAAAAAGTTTAACAAAAGTGTTATTTTGTTTCCTATTTGCTCTCCAAGATGTCCCCCCAAATATCTAACCTAAAGAAAAAAGCATCAGGTAGCACCTGTACGTAAGGTTATGAAGAAATTTCACTTACTGTCAATCATTAACCTGTTCTGGATTCTACATAGCCCTTTAGTGGACTTTTTACATATTAATCTGTTCATATTATACACTATATTGCCAAAAGTATTTGCCCACCCATCCAAATAATTAAAATCACTTATTTGCTCTTTTTCTCTATTGAGAATCCCACAGACTGAGCAGTCTTGAGTTAATAAACTGAACTTGGAAATTGTTTAGAAACTTAAAACAATAAAATGAGCTACTACCTCTCATTTCAGTTGTTTTGATAATCGGGTCATTTAATGGTGAAGCCAGTGGGATGTACAGGTAAATTATTAAATATTATCAGATTCTCAATAGTATTTCAATTTGGGCAGGAGTTGGGCAAGAAAACACTTAACTGGAAAGTTTAAGCAGAAGGTCTTTCTGTTAATTTTATGTAATTTGTGCCATGTTAAGTCTATCTAACTGAGGACAAATACAACTTTAAAGAGAAAATTGGCAGAAATTCTAAGAAAATCTCTCAAACATATTGAAAACTGCTTCATTTGTGGCATGACAGAAAATCATTGGCAAACACTTAAGGAGGTGAGCGAATATTTTGGGTAATATAGTGTATATGGTATCCATATCTTTATTGGGGCCTGCCTAGCAGAGCAGTGACTGCCTTGCTTCTGCCCATAGCAATAGGCAGGCACCTATTGTTCTACTACACCCAATAGGATGTCTCTTTATTATTAAAGTTTATTTATTTTTCTTCCGTCACCGTTAGTGTGGCTCGTACCGCTGTGTGCACCTCCACAAAAATGGTATCAAAACGTCCGGCTTGATGCCGAGAAGGGAGCTATTTTTAGTAGGATTCAGAGTTACCATGGTGACATAAATTGCGAAGCAAGGCTGAGTGTCACGGAATCAGGAATCTTTCTCTCTGACACACACACAGGACAGTGGATTTCTGACTCCAAAACTCTTTTTAACTCACCCTCATGGGCACAAAATCAAAAATCGCCCTATTGCTCTGAAAGTCAGTCATGACATTGATGCCCATGCCTGCTCTTGTAAAATGTTTTCAAAATTTTTCTAGGGGTTGTAGTTCTCTGTAAAAGTGCTTCAGACCGACGCTCAGTGTCTGACAAAGATAGGAACTCTTAGTGTCTCACAGAGACAGGAATATTTCTCTCTGACACACAGCACAGTAGATATCTGACTTTAGCTCGCCCTCACGGACACAAAAATCGCCCTATAGACCCTTTTCACATGACGTCAGACAACATCCGTTTTGACTCGATCCAGTGTATCTTTAGTTCTGGTGTGTGTAGTTAACGCTGTTTCTGGACTGTAAAGCAGCTGCCACAAATACGATTTGAAGATATATCACTATTTGCAAGCAATTTTTCTTCATCAACATAATCTAAACTGGACAAATTCCTCGCTGATTGATACCAGTTTCACTACAAAGGTACGTGTTTTGGTTTTTTTCTAGCTGTTAGTTGATATGCTAGGCTAGCAATAGTAATTTGTTAGCTGGCTAACATTACGTAGCCTTTCTGTTTTGGAAATAAAATGTATTTAGGCTCTAATCTTAATCAGATTTTTATAGTATAGACTGGGGTTGCCACCCGTCATGGAAAATGCATGATCGTATTAAACCCTCCTCATTTACGCTAGTTTCACCACCCGCTCAGTAGCGACATTACCTGTAGCCACAAGTCCAAAACTTGACAGTTATGCCAAACACCCGCAACTCCATCACGTCCTGAGAAGTTAAACTCCTGCTACGATCAAGACATGAGGAGGAAGATGCTGTTATAGATAGATAGATAGATAGATAGATAGATAGATAGATAGATAGATAGATAGATAGATAGATAGATAGATAGATAGATAGATAGATATTAACGTGTCATTGGAGAAATATATATATAGCTCATTAACTTCACATTTCTCCAATGAATATTTATCAAATGTTATGATTAGACAGTTAAGTTTCTTATACTTTATCTTCCTGCGGTTGTAGTCTTGGCAGTAGAAAAGTGGTAACATAGGAATAACAACTTTATATCCCTTTTAACAGGTTACACTTGATTCTGCTGTGGTGCCTGTGGAAACAAAGTGCATGAAGTTTGTGCTCAGGTGGGAAAACCCTGTGGATCACATGGTGGGACTTCTGCTTCAAACTGCTCACTACAGTTTACCATTGCCTCTGTCATGCACCAGTTCACTGCAGACTGACACCCGCCAAGGACCCTACATGGATGTCTTCTTAAGTTGTAAACCCTGAGTACATACTGTTGAAATAAAATTGATATGCCTTTTGTAAATACATTTTCTCTATCAATGACTTAAATTGTTAACTGTGGTAATTATGTTTGTGTAATGTAGTAACCATGTACAGTGTTTAATATAATTATTAAATAGATGTTTTAAAGAAACAATCACAAACCTTATGTCTTTGGTCCCCAATAGCAGCTTTAATTTTAGCATTTCCTCTCATCCACATATTTCGTTGCCAGATGTGTAAAATTTACAAAAAGAAGCAATTTAAATGTAAAACTTGCACATATGTAGATTACTCAAGAGAAACTATTTACAATAGTTTTTGCAGAACTCTACACATCAATTCATTTATTAATAGATACATATAGATATTAATTACAGAATAGATACACAAAGAATTCATTTCTAACACAGCTGCTTGCAGTAGTGAGTGTTCATCCAAGAAGTGTGACTTGCAGGAGCAGGGAGGCTCTGTACTGGTTTCTCCTTTTAAATCAAGAGGCCCATGACAGTTTGACATTAGGCAGCAGATGTCCCACAGTTGATTGACTGATCCTACCATGGACAGAGAAACAAGACCATCTCAGATATGGTAGGTCGGCTACTGTTGGAAAGATGGACAACAAAAGAAATGGAGAAATTATGAATCACACAGAATATGTAAATTATTTAGCAGATAGTGCTTAAATCAATATTTAAAATGCTTTTCTAAACAACAGTGTTGGAAGATGTCAGTGATTTTAGTGAAACTTAACAACACAGCACTGAAAGGCAGCGGTGTATATATTTTCCCAACTGTGGCTAAAGCTGCTGCTAGCTGGTTTACTCTCCGATCGGAGGCTGGTTATTATATACACAGTCAAAGAATGGTGGTAATGACAGTTATCTAACACTTAAATGATGTTTTATTAAAATTGATAAATAAAGTGAATCTCTAAACGTTACAGCACTTACAGAGCGGTGCATATTTTTCTTAACTGGCTAAAGCTGCTGCTAGCTGGTTTACTCTCCGATCGGAGGCTGTTTACTTTATACACAGTCAGAGAATGGAGGATTGACAATGAGTAATAACGGTTATCTAACACTTAAATGCTGTTATTATTAACCTTACCTTTTATTATATCCTTAAGATAATGAGTATCCGTGAATTATTCAGTCAGGTTTCCCGAGGCAAAATCACACCGGAAGTAAAGATACACCGCTTCGAGTTATGGCAGCCATTGTCTGACGTCGCTGTGAAAAGGGTCTATTGGTCTAAAAGTCGGTCATGACATACACACACATGCCTGCTCCCATAAAATGTTTTCGAAATTTTTCTAGGGCTTATGGTTCTCTGTCAAATTGCTTTAGACCGACCCTGAGTGTCTCATAAAGAGAGGAACTCTTTTTCCACCATTCTGTTTGACACAGAGACACAGCCCAGGTGCAGGTCATTAATTACCATAGCAAGGCAGCCTTGACGCTAATGTTGAGCTTCAGAATGCTTTTCATACTTATTAGCTATGTTTTGTATCCTGAATGGAGTAAGTCTATAATAGACAACATGTTAGTGATACCCCACATGCTACTGATAGCATTCATGCTGTTATTAGCATTTTGGCTAATTTTAGCTTATGCACTAATTTTAACTTACAGAATGGCAATGGAATGTTGCTCAACATGCTTGTGACTCTCCACATGCTGTTGAGAACATTGAAGCTTTCTTTAGCATTGATGCTAATATTTGGCATCAGAATGCTGGGTTCCAACCGACGGGCACACATTGGCAGGCCTTGGTTAAATTTCTTCAGGAATTTTCTAGTTGGGGCCAGCCATTAGCATTACATAAGGAAGAGCAGTCACTGCCTCCCATGTAATACATGGCAGGCACCTGTTGTTCTACACCCACTGATAGCAATCACACGATCATTAGCATTTTGGCTAATTTTACCTTATGCATTCATTTTAACAAAATAAATGGTGCAAGTACAGCTTAGTCAACATGTTTCTGACTGTCCACAGGTTTTTAACTACAATTTAGCTCAGCTTAGAATTTATGCTAATATTGCGCATCAGAACGCTTTTCTTACCTCTTAGCCATGTTTTGTTTTCTGAATGGAGTAAGTCAGTGATAGACAACATGCTTCTAATGCCCCACATGCTACTGATAGCATTAGCATTTTGGCTAATTTTAGCTTATGCAACATACTGAATGGTACAAGTACAGCTTAGGCCACATGCTTCTGACTCTCCACAGGTTATTGACTACACTGCAGCTTTCTTTAGCATTAATGCTAATTTTTAGGATCAGAATGCTGGGTCTAAACCAACGGGCACACTTTGGCATGCCCCGGTTAAATTTCTTCAGGAATTTTCTAGTTGGGG